TAGATTAGCACCTCCCCACGAGCACAGAAGTTTTCCACACAGCTGATTCTCACAGCCAGTCGGCCTGGTGGTCAAATCCCTCTAGTATTAACTACAACAATCAAGGCTTAACTAGAACAAGACTGCGCACAAAGACCACAAGGGGGTGCACCAAGAAAGCATAAAAGATGCGGAGACAAAAAAAATGACAGAAATGGAGGATATGGAGCTAAAAAACGCAATTTTGAGGGCTTGCAATAATGTGCTAGAAGCAGCCAATAAACTTGATGAGAGACTCAACGAAAACTAATGAGACCCTCGATGCTATGATAAAGAACCAACTAGAAATTAAGCATACACGGACTGAAATAAAGAATATTATACAGACACCCAATAGCAGACCAGAGGAGCGCAAGAATCAAGTCAAAGATTTGAAATACGAAGAAGGAAAAAACACCCAACCGGAAAAGCAAAAGAAAAAAAGAATCCGAAAATACGAAGATAGTGTAAGGAGCCTCTGGGACAGCTTCAAGCGTACAAACATCAGAATAATAGGGGTGCCAGAAGATGAGAGACAGCAAGATATTGAAAACCTATTTGAAGAAATAATGGCAGAAAACTTCCCCCACCTGGTGAAAGAAATGGACTTACAGGTCCAAGAAGCGCAGAGAACCCCAAACAAAAGGAATCCAAAGAGGACCACACCAAGACACATCATAATTAAAATGCCAAGAGCAAAAGACAGAGAGAATCTTAAAAGCAGCAAGAGAAAGAGACTCAATTACCTACAAGGGAATACCCATACGACTGTCAGCTGATTTCTCAACAGAAACTTTGGAGGCCAGAAGGGAATGGCAAGAAATATTCAAAGTGATGAATGCCAAGAACCTACAACCAAGATTACTTTATCCAGCAAAGCTATCATTTAGAATTGAAGGTCAGATAAAGAGCTTCACAGATAAGAAAAAGCTAAAGGAGTTCATCACCACTAAACCAGTATTATACGAAATGCTGAACGGTATCCTTTAAGAAGAGGAAGAAGAAAAAGGTAAAGATACAAATTGTGAACAACAAACATGCATCTATCAAGAAGTGAATCTAAGAATCAAGTGAATAAATAATCTGATGTACAGAATGAACTGGTGATTATAATGAATCAGGGACATAGAAAGGGAATGGACTGACTATTCTTGGGGGGGGGAAAGGGCAATGGGAGATGCGGGAAGAGACTGGACAAAAATCGTGCACCTATGGATGAGGACAGTGGGTGGGGAGTGAGGGCGGAGGGTGGGGCGGGAACTGGGAGGAGGGGAGTTATGGGGGGGGGGGGAAAAAAGAGGAACAAATGTAATCTGAACAATAAAGATTTAATAAAAAAAACCCATTGTAAGTTGAAAATGTGGTAAGTAAAAAATGCATTCAATACACCTAACCTCCTAAGTATAATAGCTTAGCATAGCACACCTTAAAGGTACTTAGAATGCAATAGTAGAAGACACTGTGAAGTACTGGTTGCTTACCCTCTTGATCACCCGACTGTGCTCACTGCCAGCATCAGGAGAGAGTATCATACAGCACATGGAGAACCCGGGAAAGATCAATGTGTATCACTTTTATAACATTGTAAAACTGAACCATTGTAAAAGTCGAACCATCATAAGTCAGGGGCCATCTGTAATGTTTCTTTACCCTTTTTTTTTTTTTGGTATAATTTATCAACTCTTAATACAACTTGGGTGATGAGTGAGGCAGAGCCAGTCTTTCTAAGACTGGACACCATCTGTTCTTCTTAAAGATGGAGGTGAGGCAACTTGTGTAGACTGGAACCAGGAGAGCAAGAATCATGAATCTCTACAGACTCATCGAGGAACCGGCTGGTGAGGATCCTTCTGCCCAGTCCCCTTCCCTGTCCTCTCTGCCCTTGGAGTCCCATCTAAAACCACCCCCAGAGCTGACACCTCCACCCGGTGGGCGCTTGTCCTAGTCTTCCCAGTGGAACTTCGTTCTACACCCACTGGTACCACCTTCGTGGCCTTTATCACATCAACTTGAATTGTGGTCATTTGGGTGGACCTCATCTCCCTTCCCAGATCTAGATGTCCACATGTCAGAGAAACGGCTCTGATGATCTCATAGTCTACACACACAACCCCAACTCTATGCCGGACATGCAAGTTCTCCATAAATACACATGGGGTGAATGATGACTAGATGTTGAAATGTCCTGTATTGGCTCTTGATAATTCAGACAAATGCATAGCTGTCGTGTAGCTTGCAGATGAGGGTGAGCTGAGGTAAATGGCAGCTCTGGGATTTTGCTTGTAGGAGAAGCCATTTTGGCTTTGAACACTAAAAATGTATTAAGTCCAAGTTAGGATTGCCAGATAAAACAGAGGACATCCAGTTAAATTGGAACCAAATGAATTGCAAATAATTGTTGGTATAATAGCATGTCCTAAGTCATATCTGGTATATACTTATATTAAAAATTTTTCATTGCTTATCTGAAATTCAAATTTAAGTGGAAGTCCTGTGTTTTTATTTGCTAAATCTGCCAACCTTAGTCCAAATGAACAAAAGGATTTTTCTTTCTTTTTTTTTTTTTTTTATCTTTGATAACAAATGGATGTATTTTTCTCTAAGGCAGTGGTTCTCAACCTCCTGGCCCTTAAAATACAGTTTCTCATGTTGAGACCCAAACATAAAATTATTTTTGTTGCTACTTCATAATGGTAATCTTGCTACTGTTATGAATCACAATGTAAATATCTGATATGCAGGATGGCCTTAGGCGACTCCTGTGAAAGGGTCGTTCAACCCGAAAAGGGATCATGGCCCACAGGTTGAGGTCTAATACTCTAAGGTACTCTCTGCCTCAATAGAATTGAGGTGTTTCAATAAAAAAGTCTTACCAAATTAGAAATGAAACAAGGAGAGTAAATCGTTCTGCCTCCAGTCAAACAGAAGAGCAAGCAGAGACCTCACCCACAATCAGGGGAGCTGCCCTTTACCTGCTCATCCATGGCCTCAGCTGGCACCCCATCTCTCCTCCTACTGTAGGAGAGGTTTTAGGGCTCAGATCCTGAGCATGGGATGGGAATGGGCAGCAGGGGTGGAGTGTGTAGGCAAGGGCCCAGATCCTTCTCATCTCAGGTTCCTTCAGCATGGGAGCTCAAAGCCTGCTGAGGGTCCACATGTGCGCGGGCATCATGATCCCGGCCTCGGCCTCCATGGCTGTGCCTGCAGTGCCCAGAGTGAGTTGCCCATCCAGTTAACTCACTGAACGTGCTCAGCACTTACCTGCCAGGGACACTCGCCATCTTTGCAGTCCCTCCCTCCCACTATCCTGACAAGTGAGTTCTCCTCCTCTGGAGAACTTGGCTGTGTGTTATTCAAGCCCAGCAGATCGAAAGGGTTTGTGGTGGGATCCAGGTCTCCATTGAAAGGGTTCGCGGTGGGATCCAGGTCTCCACTGTCTTCTGGGGGATGCTTGCTGCTGTGGGCGGTCAGGGACCCCGGCCTCCTCCTCTGTGGCAGAGTGAGTTTCCCACAGGGATAAGGCTCTGGAAGAAAAACCAATGGCCTGTGGCTTCAGCAAAGTGAAACCCTCCCTGCACTGCAGGAACAGTTCATTAGCAGCAGGAGGCATAGGGAGGCCAGAGAGAGAGAGAGGGTCCGACCCCCAAGGTTATGGGTCGGGTCAGAGGGCCTGGAGAACTGCAGTTGGGGAAGAGTGAAGCGTGTGCTTGGTAACTGGGAAGGGTGTGAGGAACTTTTGGGGTGCGGAGTGCCCTGTGTCTTGATCTCGGTGGCATTACCAGGTGGACGTAACTGTCATGATGCAGGGAAAGTGCCCTTCCCGTCAGTGCCCCCACTGTGTGTCAGTCTCACCTACAGGACCTGCTGCAGACACCAGCTCTGGGGCTGACCAGGATGCTGAAGCATTGAAGGGGATGTCTGCAAGCTACTTGGAAAATGCACCCACATACTACAGAGGCTGAGAGTGGACAGAGGACACAGAAGGGCAGGCAGGCGATGAAGCAAGCAGAGAGGTTAATGGCAGAACCCAGGTAGGCACATAGGGGTGCTCACTGTCAAATTCTGTCAAACCTGCTGTGTGTGCAAACATTTTCTAATGAAATGTTGTTGTTGTTGTTGTTGTTTTAAATTGTTCTTGGAAAAAGGGACAACATAGGCAAACAACCTGAGGCATAAGAAGGAGCACTGCACAACACGGCTTTGTATGATAATGTCTAACAGGGTTGACTACCCTTAAAATCACCAAACTCAGGGGAGATGTCAGCAAATACCAGAAAGCTTCCTTTCTGTATTATTACCAACTAAGAAATTGAGGCGGAGAGAAGGGCCAACACTGGACAGAGAAAGGGAGAGGTATGGAGGCCCATCAGAAAACAGAGGACAACCAAGATGGTGACATAGGTAAACACCTGGACTTGCTGCCTCGCACAACCACATTAAAACTACAACTAAAAGACAAAACGAGTAGCGTCCATAACCGTGGGAAGGCTGGCTGAGTGGAAATTTTACAACTAGAAGGAAAGAGAAAAGCACATTGAGTCCAGTAGGAGGCACAGAGGTGTGGAAGTGTGGAGGTATGGAGGCTCGCGTGAAAGGGGCTGGCAGCTGGGTACGCTGTTGTCTTTTTCAACCGGGAGGGATATATAAGCTCCTGACTGCTCTGAAATCCAGTTCTGTGAGAGAATCTGGGGACCCAAACTCATAAGGAGAGAAACTGTACTGTCTGGCATAGGGCCAGAATGTGAGGGCGTCTTTCTCGCAGAGGTGCTTGCAGTGTTCATTGTTCCTGCACAGGGTGAAGGGACATAGAGACCCAGGGACCTATCGGGGGAGGGCTGATGGCAACCATTGCTGTTTGCACTGCACCATGACTCCCTGAGACCACACCCAACCCAAGCTGTGCCCAGAGACTTTTGCATACTAATGGCCTGGCCTTTCTCCCCCTAAAAACCTGTCAAACTGCAGCTGGGTCAGAGAAACCCACAGCTTCCAAAAGGCCTAAGGCTATCAGCAGCCTGCATTACTTCACAGTTCTGCCTCATCTGGGCACCTCCAAACCCCTAACAAAGAGGAGGAATCTGCAGATCTCTCTGTAGCTCCTGTTGGGTGGCCTTAGGCAGTGGGTGACTTTGCACCCCCTTGGAGATCCAATAGTCAGTCTACCCAGTGGTCAGAGTGAGACCATCCAGATTAAAACTCTTAACATCCATAAGAGACACACTCAGGGGGCAGACTCAGTGAGCGCCAAAGCCCCACTGAAGCAAGTCCTGCCCCATAAGGGTTTCTCCAGACCAGAAGTTCTCCCACGTAGGCACAACTGGTCCTTACAGCCATTTGGCAGGGAGGGCAATTCCTCCCAGTGACACCAACAGCAATCAAGGCTTTACTACAACAAGACTGTGCACACAGCCCACAAAGGGGTGCACCAAGAGTGTCCACCTCAGGTAATTAGGGAGGCTGAGCCCACTGGGCCCTATAGGACACCTAGCACACAAAGCCACTCTATCAACACAGGGAAGCAGCCAAAATGTGGAGACAAAGAAACAGGTCACAAATGAAAGAAATGGAGGAAAGCAAAGTCCTGGATATAGAGTTCAAAACCATGGTTATAAGGCTACTCAAGAATCTTCTAGAAACTTCTGAGAAATATAGTGAGACCCAAAAGGATATGAAAAAGGACCAATTAGAAATTAAGCATACACTGACGGAAATAAAGAATAATATACAGACTCCCAACAGCAGACTAGAGGGTCCCAAGATCAAGTCAAAGATTTGAAATATGAAGAAGCAAAAAACACCCAACTGGAAAATCAAAAGGAATAAATAATACAATGCAAAAATATGAAGATAGTGCAAGGAGCCTCTGGGAAAGCTTTAAGCGTACCAACATCCGAATTATAGGGGTGCCAGAAGAAGAGAGAGAGCAAGATATTGAAAACCTATTTGAAGAATTAATGACAGAAAACTTCCCCTACCTGGTGAAAGAAATAGACTTACAAGTCCAGGAAGCGCAGAGAACCCCAAACAAAAGTAATCCAAAGAGGACCACACCAAGACACATCATAATTAAAATGCCGAGGACAAAAGACAAAGAGAGAATATTAAAAGCAGCAAGAGGAAAACAGTTAGTTACCTACAAGGGAGTACCCATACGACTGTCAGCTGATTTCTCAACAGAAACTGCAGGCCAGAAGGGAGTTGCAAGAAATATTCAAAGTGGTGAATAGCAAGAAACTACAACTAAGATTACTCTACCCAGCAAAGCTATCATTTAGAATTGAAGGTCAGAGAAAGAGCTTCACAGACAAGAAAAAGCTAAAGGAGTTCATCACCACCAAACTAGTATATGAAATGCTGAAGGGTATTCTTTAAGAAGAGGAAAAAGAAGAAAAAGGTAAAGATAAAAATTATGAACACCAAAGTGACAACAAATACATATCTGTCAACAAGTGAATCTAAAAATCAAGTGAATAAAAAATCTGATGAACAGAATAAACTGGTGAATAGAATAGAATCGGTGGCATATAGAAAGGGAGTGGACTGACAATTCTCGGGGGAAAGGGAGTGTGGGGGGTGCAGGAAGAGTCTGGCCAAAAAGCATACACGTATGGACGAGGACAGGGGGTGGGGAGTGGTGATGGCATAAGGTGGGGTGGGAACCGGGTGGAAGGGAGCTATAGGAGGAAAAAGAGGAGCAACTGTAATAATCTGAATAGTAAAGATTTATTTAAAAAAGAAAAAAAAACCAGATGGCTCCTCTCTGCTTCGGTGGGTTTGCCTAAAATCAGATAAGCAGAACGTAGTTCTTTTTAGTCTTTGCGAGGGCTCCAGCAGGATCTGAAGGACCCCTCCCCACCCCCAGCAGACTTGTGCTGTGTTAGATGGAGATAAAGAGTGTGGTGTTGATATTTGTAATCACTGTATTTTGAAATACTGAATTAGGAAGTAGTTTACCTGACCCCACCCCCACCCCCCAGATATCACACTTCATTAAATTGATTTGTAATTATTCCTGGAATTTAAACAAAATTTGCGTCCATGGTACAGTCTATCCCGTATTGTTGAACCAGCATAAGTTTAAAAATCTCATTACCAATGGAGGTGCAAATGATACTGTCTTTTACTTGTTGAGAGAGTTGATGTTATCTAATTGCAGTCATTCTGGAATGTTCCTGTCTTGTGGAGTGGGCCTGGGACTTTGTATTTGTACACCCTCACCCTCACTGACCCCCCTCGAACAGTTGATGCTGAAGCTGTGGATCAGTCAGGGAACCTGGCTTTGAAAAACAAGTTGGTGCCTTTGTGAGACTGAGAGAAAGGAGTGGCGCCTCAGCACCGCTGGCTCCAGGTTGGCTCTGCAGCACAGGAGGACCTTTCTACAGTGTGCGAGACCCCAGGGGCCTGGCCTGTACTCAGCCCCTTAATAGGCCATGCCCTCCCGAGCTTCTAGGCCAGACTCATCGTGTCCGGCTTTTATCAAGGAAAAGAATAAATAAATTTGATTAACATCGAGGCCCACACAACCTAAATTAGTTCTTTTTTGTTGTTGTTAATCCTCACCCGAGAATATTTTTTCATTGATTTTTAGGGAGAGTGGAAGAGAGAGGGAAAGACAGAGAGAAACATCAATGTGAGAGAAACACATCGATTGGTTGCCTCCTGCACGAGCCCCAACCAGGGTCCGGGCTTGGGAGGAGCCTGAAACTGAGGTATGTACCCTTGACCAGAATCGAACCTGGGACCTTCTGGTCCACAGGCTGACACTCTGTCCACTGAGCCAAACCAGCTAGGGCCTAAATTAGTTCTCGAGGGGCTTCGGCTCCCCTCTTTCTAACTCCCCATCTCCTACAGTCAGGCCTTGGCTGCCCTCAGCCGCCTGCACTCTCATCTTGGTTCATTGTAACTCCCAGTCTCCCAAGCCTCCTGTCCTACCCAGGGGTACAAATCAGGCCTCCACACACTCATTTACATAGAGTTTGCTGCGAATCAGGCACTGTGCAAAGTGCCCTCCATGCATTGCTCTCTTAATTTGCACATTTACTAAGCAGTTAGGTAATATCGTCGGCCCAACTTTTCACGCAGCTCCCAGAAACGGGGTTTGTCTCCAAATCTGCGGCCCACCCCGGCTCCTCCAGCTGTCCTGCACTGGCCTCTCTGACTCAGGGAGCCCTGGTGGAGTGGCCCCATGTGCCTCCTACCTGTGGAGATGCAGGACTTGCCATTGTCATCCAGGATGTACCCGCTGGCACAGGAACATACCACAGAGTTCTGCTCCTCTCTGCAGAACTGGTCACAGTCCCCGTTGTCCTGGCTGCAGAACTTTCGCATGGCTGTAAGGGACGCATGTTGGTTCTCAGGACAGGCTGGGGAAACTGAGGTAGCAGCTGGCCGGGAGGAAGGACAGCAGCCCCAGGGGGACATACACCCACCGTGAGCCCTACAGCAGCCACCTGGCTAGAACAAAAGGCCGGAGCCACATGGCCCATGCACATCAGCTGGTGCAAACAGGATGGGCTGCCCAGAGCAGCTGGTGGGGTGAGAGGATCATGCCTGTGTGTGTGGTCTTCTCACTGCCCAGGCTGCCTGGGGAAACCATGGCGTACAGTTAGGGCGAGAACTTAGTATCTGCCGGGCCCCGGCACCAGCCTTCCAGGAGGTCCTTAAATAATCTGAACATGGCCTGTGAGGGCCCTGGAAGCTAGAAGGGTCTTAAGTTCAGCGCTAAGAAGGCACATGGGTCCTGACCAGCTTGGAAGGGCTCCCTGCAGGAGGGTGGGTTCCCGGCCAGGGGCTCAAGAGGAGCCTGGTGGAGTGGCCAGAGGCCCACCCACTCTGAGGCTAGAAGAGTCCCTGTGTAATAAGGGTCTCAGAAACTGGGGTCTGGGCCCTAGTGCGGTGGGAAGAAGAAACAAAACAGGCAGTGCACATCCTGGAGGCAGGCCAACCTGAGTGCCAAACTGGCACTTCTGTCACTTGTGTTTTGAGCAAGTTATTTCAACCTATGGGCCTGGGTTTCCTCAGTTGTAAAGTGGTGGAGGCCGTACCACCTCACAGGATAACCTCACAGGTCACGGGAAGCTCTTGCCTTATGTCCGTGTGAAGCCGTGTCTCCCTGGACCTCAGATCCGCAGCTCTGCCTGAGCCAGAATCACCCACCTGCTTCCTGTGTGCACTGAACTCAACCTCCAAACTCACATCAGTGATGCTACCCTGGCCGTTTACACTCCGCACTTGGGTTTTGATGAAAAAGTAATTATGGTGCAAAGATCAACGTTAATGAGACTTTAGAAAACATTCACCATGGCCCTGGGGTCAGAGCCAAAAGGTGTGCAAGAGCGGCTGCTCTGGATTGGGATGAAACGATGCCTAATTGATATTCCCGGCAGAAAAAATTCTGAAGTAATCTAATTAAAGAGCACATTCCAAAGACTATAAATTAAGTAATAAAAAGAAAAGCAAATCTTTCTCTTTAGGGAAATCCGGTTTAATATTAAAGCTAATTTATATTTAAAAATTAACCAGCATATTAGGAAAACTCCTAGTGACTTTTCCAAGTAAGATTAATTAAATGTTTCAAATTTTTATAATTGGACAATCCCTAACAGTTAGTATTGGCATGTGCACTAATAAATGAAAGGTGTGGTGATTTAGAATCATTGCCCAGGACCACAAGGAATATAAGTAACAACGATGAGGGATACATTCTACTCCAAGAAGGAAGTCAATTCTCGTTTCTCTGTTAGTGGGCCACATGCTTCATGAATGTTCCACAGCCTCTCTCAGAGGAACGGAGAGGTGACTGTGTGTTTCACTGAACTCCAACACTGAGTGGATTGTAGGGCCCTTAATTTTTGTTGTTTTCTGTGACTACAGTGGCCCTTCATAATGGAGCACAGACTGGACATCAGAAGTGACATGAGGTTGTTCCCTTGGACATTTTGACTTTTTCCCTCTTTCCCACATTTGATTCTTCAGGTAACTCGGACTTGAAGGCCTACCAAGAAGAGGAACTCACGTAATTCACAGTTTCTGCCTTCATATCCTTCCTGACAAGTGCAGGTGTATTCCCCAAGGCCGTCCTTACACCTGCCCTGATTCAGGCAGGGATTGCTTTCACACTGGTCACCATCTGCAAAGAAAGGGTTTGGAAACCGAAGCTTGCGGGCAATTTCCATCACCATGGAGATGACTTTGCTGTGTTGATCTTGGCACACATTTTTCAGATAACTCGAATGAACGTGGACTTCTTCCTGTTTCCCTGTAAACAATTTCTCCTAACTGAACTTCACTGTATCCTCACCTTTTGTGGCTCTGTGTACGTGATGCTCTTATCTTACTGGATCATTGGCTGAGCTTTCCAGTTTTTGCTGAAATGTTTGACAGCATTTTTACATTAGAGTGAAGCGCTCTAGGAGGTGACTACATGGGACCATGTGGAAGGAGAAGACGTGATTGTCTGACACTGGACAACAGAGATGTTAGGGCTCCTGTTTCCAAATGCTCTGGGGGTAAAGTGAGAATGCAGAGACAACTGCCCAGCATCAACACGGGACTTCACATTTCTTGGTGCATTTGTACAATCTAATTTAGAGATAAGTCCAATAGTCATTTTGAGAAATTTGAATGGTATTGCCAGAATGAAAACATTAGTCAGGATTAATGCCATTTTAGGTGGTATAAGGGTTGACTCAAGGTGGCTACCTTATTATAGGGTCCAATCTTTCCGACTCTATTTTTTTCCTAATATACTTGGATTTTTAAAATTATCACTAAATTTGGTATTCTCAAATGAGAATATACTGATTTAAGTCTATATGTAAGTGGCAACATTAGAATTAGTATAAAGTTACTATAAAAAACTATTTTACAATAACTTAAAAATGCTCAGACGGAACAAGTTAAATACATAGAATTTAAACAGGAACAGAAAGGCAATTCAGGAAGCATTTTCAAAGTTCAAACACAATTTCTCCCAAATTAAATATCCTAATGAACTCCTCTCCCTTAAGATTAAAATAGAAAACATCTCACCTTTGTATTTATTCCAGAATTCATTCTAAAAGAGAAAAATATTTTAAAGAACATTAGGGAAAGCACAGACATTTTACACCTATAACAAATTATAACCTAAGTAAGGTATCAATTGAGATGAGATCCTACTGGATTAGGCTGGACCCCAAATCAATGAGGGGGTCCTTATAAGAGACAGAAAAGGACACAGACACACGGAGAGAAGGCCATGTGAAGATGGAAGCAGAGATTGGAGTGATGCATCCACAAGCCAAGGAATGCCAAGGATTGTTGGCAGCCACCATAAGCTAGAAGAGAGGCGTGGAACAGATTCTCCCTCAGGTCTTCCAGAAGGAACAAACCCTGGTGACACCTTAATGTCGAACCTGTGGTCTCCAGAACTGAGAGAAAAAGCATTTTAAGACACCCAGTTTGTGGTTTTATTTTGCTTTATTTATTTGTTTGTTTGTTTATTCATTTATTTATTGATCCATTTATTTTTAGTGTCTTAATGTGGAAGCTTAGAATATCAATTTGAGACCTTTCTTCTTTTCCAATAAAAACCTTAATGCCTTAAGTTCCCCTAGAAGCACTATGTTGTATGTTCGTTTTTGTTCAGCTGGAAATATTTTCTAATTTCCTTTGAGACTTTCTCTTTGACCCACAAATTATTTAGAAGTGTGCTGTGTGCTGTTTAATTTCCAAATATGTAGAAATTTTCCTGTTATTGATTTTTGGTTAATTTCATTATGGTCAGATAACCTTTTATATGTTTTCAATCTTTAACATTTGTTAAGATGTGTTTTTAGGACACAGGGTATGGCCTATCTTGTAGAAAGTTCGGAGGATGCTTGGAACTTTGAGGAGAGGGGGTTTGCCACAGGACCGTTGGGAATCGCACAATTATCAGTTAGATTCAGGTCGAGTGATGTCTGGAGAACTGCAGGGGATACAAATGATAAACTCACAATTCTGTGGTACTTTGAATTCTCTTTTTCTTCAGTGACTGCTGCTATTTAATTTTCAGGGCCCTCAAATAGCGGCTCCATGCAGTCTACCCAGGTTTTGTAGTTACATTCAGTGGGAGACAGGGTGGAGTGTGCTTTCTCCATATTACTTGGAACCAGACTTGTTGCTAACCTTTGATCCAGTAATCCTCTTTGGAGCAACTGCTCTTCTTAGGAGATAATCCAGAAGAACTATGCATGTGCATGTTTTCATAATAGTAATATGAAAACAACTTATATGGCCAAAATGGGAAAGAAGTAAATGTGTTGATACAATAGATTTTAATTTAGGTCTTTAAGATTGTAAGTATGGTATGTATGTACACACACACACACATATATATGTTGTTGTTTTTTAAATATATATTACTGGTTTTTTACAGAGAGGAAGGGAAAGACATAGAGAGTTAGAAACATCGATGAGAGACATCGATCAGCTGCTTCCTGCACACCTCTTACTGGGGATGTGCCCGCAATCCAGGTACATGCCCTTGACTGGAATCGAACCCGGGACCTTTCAGTCCGCAGGCCGATGCTCTATCCACTGAGCCAAACCAGTTTCGGCAGGTAGCTATATATAGAAGTAAGGAAGAGTGTTTGGGAAATGATGCTGAGAAAAAAGTAGTACCTAAACTTGGATTGGAATTACAAATATTCATTAATATTTTGTGTATGTATTTCATACACAAAACTGCGTATGTGAATTCGAAGAGCATTTAAAAGTGAAAATAGTTCTTGAAATTATGAATAACTTTTAAAAATAGACTAATCATGTATTTGGTAAGGCGTGAAAATGAATTCTCAATGCCTCTTCACTCTTCTGGTGGCTGAAATGAACACTGGTGGTCAAACGGATAGAAACATACACGAATCCCTTGCAGACCTTGATCTTTTGCAGAAATACAAAGATGTCTGAGTCCCACAATTTACAGTGACTATTTTCTAGACAGAAGTGCCAAGTGTGTTTTCCAATGTATTAGTGGTTGGTACATTCTCCTTCCTCGCTTCAGGTTTTACGGGAGGAAACACAGTGCTTCTGTAATGTTACTGGAGACTGTGAGAAACATGGTGATGTGATGTGGTTACTACCCAAGCCCCAGCGAGCTGTGGGCATTCCATGGCAGTACAGAGCTTTTCATCTATGAACACGGCCTCCTCCTCATCAGTGCCTTTGGTCTGCTCTTCCTTACCCTCCTTCCTCCGTCTCTCTCTTCCTTCAAAAATTTTAAGGGTTTATTTGAGGCAAAACTGATGGTAGTTGCCAGGAAGCAAGGTCTCAGATGCTTCTGTTTTGTTCTTTAAAAAACTGCTTGCTGCTGCATGGAACTGTTTAAGTCATTGTAAGTACTGCACACTTCCTTCTTCGTGACAAATAGCTCAAAGTGCTCAGTGAGACCCAGAGTGGTCCGTTTGGCCAAACATCTCTCTATCGGTGGGTGATCACAAATGAATATGGGATTTCTGCGACTCACTTAAGGAACTCTCTGACAAGATTATCAAAGAGTCTAGCTGTGGCCTGAGGTAAAGGACATTCAATAGCTTTTGCCACACAGGTATTATTAAGAATTTTTTTTTAGTTTCTTCAGTTTTGAAGAAGGTTTGTTCCTGGCAGGCTAGTTCCTCAGAGGGCTTTCTCACGTGCTTCTACCATGCTGACTCTGTAGATGGGGTGAAGCCAGTCTGATGGGTTTGGCCTGCTGGGCCATTGGGATGGTGGATGTGATCTTGTCTGTAATGTGCTTCACCATCCCTGACATAATCTCCATGGTTTCAG